TAATTTGTGCCGAAGTTTTTCCCGAGACTTCCAACACTTTGCGGGCCAACGAAGAGCAGACCTCAATGTATTCGTTCAGATCGTGTGCCTCGCGTTCGTCGAGAGACTTATCCTTATTATATGAGACAAAAGTGTATTTCTCGAGCGCGGGATTCTGTGCGCCCTGTCTTCGCGGCGCTAAATTCACTTTCAGACCACGGATTTCCAATCCCTGAGCGATGCAAACGTTGATTCGCGGATCGCAAACCACTGGCAATTGAGGCTCATCTCCAGCCGCTTCGACCGCTTCCAATAGGACTCGTGGGTCGCATCGGATCGACTGGAAGCGCACCGGAAGGTACAGACCGCGAGTGGTTTTGCCCAGAATTCCCAACTGCAACATAGCGTCGGCGAACGCCACCCAACTTCCCGTGTATTTAATCTTTCCCTGACGTCCGTCAGCAGTGGCTTCGGTCAGTCCCTGGAATGTCGGTCCGTAATCGTAACCACGGATTCGCAGCTCTTTGTAGATGTCTTTGGGCTCTAATTTCAGTGGATTCTCATTGGGAACCGAGCCGTCGGTCAACAGTTGCTGTAGACTGAGCTCAACGTCTTCGGGAACAGTGATCTTACCGGTGACGGCAATAGTGCCGCCTTCGCTGACAGAGAACTCGCCGCTGCTGTCCATCATTCGGATGATAAACTTTGTTTGTCCCTGTTTTGGAAGAATGGTCGCCCTATGAAGGGTCACGTTCTCGAACTCGACGGGCAATTTATCCCAGAATTGGCCCTTCATTTTGGCCAACATCTGCCACGCGAGCATCAGATACCCGGTGGCCGGGAATAGGACGCGACCGTCGATGCAATGGCCGGCGTAGTACTCGTCGGCCTTCTCCTGGAGATCCACTTTAATGGTGTAATCGGAAGAACTGCTGGGATTGAAGAACTCGGGATACAGTGTGACCAACCAGTTCTGCGAGTGATCCCAACGAACCATTGGACTGATCGATTGGGTTCCGCGCGACACCGGGTATTGCACTTTGGGGTACAGTTTGTCGAGACGTGGGTTGAGTCCCAACTCGTATAGCTTTCCGATGGCCGATAGCGCCATATCTAGGTTTGAGGCGTTGTTATTACGCTTCATAAGACCCACGTATGAGATATCGGATCCGAGACTACGCTTGAGTATCGCCTGAAGCAAACAGTGCGGCGCTATTTCGATGACAATCGAGTTCTTGGGCACGTGTTGTATGGCCTCCTGGAACAGTACCGGTGATGTCAAGTTGTTTACATAGTAAGCGGGCGCTGAATATTTAGCCAACTCTTCGCCCCAACGGGCCTCTGGAACCGATGAGCTGACCCATCGGCTGCTTCGGAGCTTTGATTCGGGGATCACTTTCTTGAGTTTCTCGAGAAGTGTCGGCGCAATCGCTTCCATGAAATAACTGTGAAACGAAACGCCAGAGCTCTTCACTTCGCGGGCGAAGATATTCTCGGCGCGCAATTCCTCCAAAAACTTTTGGGTCGGTTCGTAGGCGCCGGAAATGGTGACCGAGTCCTCCGAGTTATGACACGCGGGCACAACACCCTTAGGACAGCGGCGTTTGGCCTCTTCCCAGGTCAGGCCGACGGCGGCCATCAAACCGCGCGGCAGTTTCGCCTCTTCCACGCACTTCCCTCTCCAATAGGCCGCTAACAGCATCTGCTCGGCGTTGAACACACCGTCTCCGTAGGCACAGCCCAACTCACCGACTGAATGGCCAACAATGCCGTCGGGAACGATCTCCATCTCCTTCAGGAAGTCCACGAGCGCTATCTGTACGGCAGCGATGGCCACAAATTGAACACACCGTCTCCGTAGGCACAGCCCAACTCACCGACTGAATGGCCAACAATGCCGTCGGGAACGATCTCCATCTCCTTCAGGAAGTCCACGAGCGCTATCTGTACGGCAGCGATGGCCACAAATGGGGCGACAGTTGTCTCGAGTGCCGACTCGTCGTCGCTGAGCAGCAGATGAAGTAAATCAACTCCGAGTGGTTTCAATGTTTGCGCCGATTTTTGAATGGATTTGTTAAACACATCCAAAGACATCATTCCCTTAGCCATTGCTGTCCATTGACTTCCCATACCTTTGTTTAAATAAAACACATTTAATTAATTAATAAAATGCAAACAAAACGAGTGATAAAAAGTATGTTCAAACCTGAGAAGACGAACCAAAGCGGTCTCTTCTCCTGAACGCGAGTCACTTCCCGAGTGAAGGACAGGGCGTTCTCTTCGTCGCTCTTTTTGGCCAAAAGGAATCCGCGATAATTCATTCCCGAAGAGTCAGTGGTCTGTGACATGTCGTACAGCAGTGCCAACAGATCGCGGGTCAGTTTCTTGGGATTCTGTTCCAAGAAATCAAATATATTGTTCACACTTTCCTCAGTTCGGCCGCAAACGGGAATAACTCGAGGAATGGTTTCGATTATGTTTTGATTGTCTTTTGTGGGCTCTTGTAAATGCGGTTTAAGCAGTATATGAACGTTAACTCCGCCAAAACCGAAAGAATTGACCGGAACTATACTGTCCACGAATGGCGTGTTCTCCACAATGGGTTTGATTTGGCCGTTAATGAGGGCCGGAATGTTTGGATTGGGTTTATTGAAGTGAAGATTCGCGGGAATCACTTTGTTTTCAAACGCCACCAATACTTTGGCCACTGAGTTGAGTCCGGACGCGGGCTCGGAATGTCCTAAACACGACTTAACGCCTCCGATAAGTAGCGGTTCCTTTCGGTTCCCTTTGCAGAAGACTTCGGCAATGGCTCCGGTTTCGGACGGATCGCCGACACCGGTTCCCGTTCCGTGAGCCTCGATATACTTGATCTCATTTGGATCTACTTTCGCCTCTTTGAGCGTTTGATACATAAGAGAACTCTGGGAGTGAGAGGAGGGGAATGTAATGCCTTCGTCTTTATAGCCATCGGTATTGGTCTTTGCGTGAAGAATCGTGGCGTATATACGCTTGGCTTCGCTCTTCTTCTGCAGGAATATGACAGAACNGACCGGTCCTAACGAAAGCGCTTCCTTCACGAGTTGAGTCGAGCCCTCAGGTGTGGACGCGTCGGCCTTCGAGACAATCACGTGAACGCCATGAGAACGAAGACGTTTAATGCATAAGTGTTGGTAAGCATCTCGGGGTCCGCTTCTGGAGGTGAGCACCAGTTTTCGGGCGCCTCTTTCGACCAACCAATGAGAGAGTTCGAGTCCAAAGCCACCCAAACCTCCGGTCACTATATATGACTTCAGCGGATGAAGTGCTGTTCGGGGAAGAGCTTTGACCACCAATTTAGTGGGCGCCACAACTTTGGCCGACTCTTCGTCTCTGATCTTAAGGATCACTTTACCGACGTGTTTACCCGAAGCCATGAAACGGAACGCCTCTTCGGCTTGATTTTTGTTGAAAATGGTTCGCTTGAGGGGTCGGACGGCACCCGATTTGATGCCATCCAAGACGAGATTCGCGACCTCCAACTTCTGACCTTGAATTCCGGGCGAGTGAGACGAAGACGGGCCGAACAACGCGTCCAACAAAATGCCGTGGAATGCGATATTCTTGAGGAAAGCAGACATTCCTATGGTTTCGATCAAAACATTCAAATGATTAGTCAATTGAATAACAATACAAAGCAATAAGTCATTTACCCAATGGGTTGTTCTGCGATAAGTCATATTTGCCGATCTCTAAGAACCTTCCGTGTTGTGCGAGACACCGGACACTGGCCTGCAGTTTCTCTTCGGACAGTGAGTTGAGTACGACATCCACTCCGCGACCGGCTGTCTGTCTGAGGACGTGTTGTTCAAAACTGGTGTCACGAGAATTGGCAAAGTTTTTGTCAGTCAATTGCGGGAACTCCTTCTTGAGATACGCTTTCTTCTCTTCGCCGCCAGTCGTGGTGTAGACCTCACAACCCATACTCAGCGCGATAGAGATGGCCGCCTGTCCGACACCACCGCTTCCCGAGTGAATCAATACACTCTCGCCCTTCTGAAGGCCTCCGCGGACTACCAGAGCGTAGTAAGCGGTGGCGTAAACCACGGGTACAGTACTCGCCTCTTCCATTGTCCAGTTGTCGGGGATTTTCCACAAGAATTCCGGATCGTCGACAACGATGGTTGTGGCCAAACCCTTGGCGGCAACCATTCCCATCACTCGGCGCCCGGTTTGGTCGCGTCCGGCGAACTCCAGACCCAGAATGCAGTCCTGAAGAGCCATATCGCCGGGCAGAGCATCGGGTGGCAGTTTGCCGGTCGCCAGCATAATGTCGCGGAAGTTAAGCGGAGCGTAGTATACACTACACAACACTTCGTTGGGGTTCTTGTGGGCGGTGGGCAGCGATTGCCAGTACTTGTGCTGCGCCTCATACCAGCGCAGACTCGACAGATCGCCTCTTGTGGTCACATTGAGGTACGCGTGTTCGGTGTCTATGCACTCGTTCTGGCGGTCGTCACTCAAATCGAAATGTCTGAACGAACCAAACTTGCCGTCTCTGTAGACATTCATCACGAGATCTTTTTTGAGAAGATCTGAATAAATGGTTTTGTCGAAAGCAACCGGCGGGAAATCGGCTCTGGCTTTGGCTGTTTTGCTGGCGTTGAATATGCAGCGAATCTTATCGCCTCCCGGCTCTTGTCGCAGACATTTCACGAGTCCGACCACACCGTTGGACACCGTGTCGTTGGCCACGAGCCACACGTTTTGTCCGCTCTGTTTGTTTTGGTGCTCTTGAATCTTACTCTTGAGTGTCTCGACCCACGAGTCGTACTTAGAGGCGGTCACGTTGACAATGGTCTGGTCGGCCGCTTGTTTTGTGACCACTTTTCTTAAGACAACCACCGATGAGGTCAACGAATCGGTCTGATTGCTGATCACAGAGAAGCCAACTTTTTCGGCTTTGGTTATAAACTCTGTGGCCTTAGTGTTCGGGACATTGAGTTCACCGACTTTGTAGACAAAGCGCTCGGCGGGTGTGAAATGAGTTCGCAAGAGTGCGATAACAAATCCATTGTCTTTGGTCACCGAATACAGGGATTCGGTCAACGCCTCAATATTGACGCCATTGGATGTGTTGGCCGACGAGTAGATGTCTTTGTAGACGACTAAGTCGACGGTCGAGGCGTCCAAAGAGACATTAGATTTGGCGACATTCCATTCGCTGATTCGGG